CTAGTACTCAACTTCTTCAAAAAGTGGATACCCCTGCAAAAGTAGATGAGTTATGTCTTTTGTACCTCTCAATGTAATCTGGGTCCATCATGGTTGGAACTGGGTCTTGTTGAAGAGGAACTGGATTATGCTGGGGAGGGACCGGGTGACCCTGTGACGGCACCTAGTTGTATGGTGGGGGCACCGGATTGTATTGTGGCAGTGCTGAATGATACGGTGGAGGAACAAGGTTGTACCAAGGTGGCACTGGATCTTCTCATTATAGGGGTGGCTCACACTACGGCAGTAGTGGAGTGTCAGGTAGCTCCCTCCACTCTTTCCTGGCCTTCTAAGCAGAGATGAGTCTCTCCAGCATCTCGAGAGCCAATCGACATCCTCTCGAAGTGACCTATCCCTGGCTGTTATGTTCAGTGGGGGTCTTCCTCTCCTCATATCTTTGTACCTGCATTTCATAACAAAGGGTTAAATGTCAGGTTGTATTGAATGATTCTAACCTTTGTGCCAGGAATGTTTTTGAGGAACGCGACTCTAATATAAACTGTAAAGGCTCAAGACTTAATTGAATGGAAATATTGAATTAATGAAATAATAGCGGAAGCAATTAAGAGTTTAAGATTTACATTTCTTGCACAGTAAATTAGAATGCCCAATAGAGTTACGGGAATGTCCCTTAAGGAAATTTAAATAACATACATGGAAATATAACTAATTCTATAGGGTCAACCTTTGTTGGGCAACTCTGATGGGATGCGAGAAGCAACCTTTAGTCGCTAACGTTTCTGCTATTTAGGATATGGATCTTGGTTTTTTTTATTTGAAATGGTTAAATAAGGGGGATGAACTATATTAACTCAGTAGGAATTTCAACACTTAATACCGATACAGAAAACCAAAAGTTGGTAAAAAATCATAAAACAACCAATTGAGTCATTTTTTTTTAATTTAATTAAAAAAATGTAAGTTTTTTTTAATGTAAGTTTCATACTCATATTTTAAGTTGTCAAATTTGACTTGTGAAGACAATAATCAAGTTAATAATTCACAATACATTCCAATGAAGAATAATAACCAACTTTACCTTTTTACTTACGTATCGGTACCTCTGTAGGTCCATAAGGGTTTCCCTTACATGTGGACTTAACATCTAATTTATTAATTAACCAGTCGTCCCCATACCCTATCTGGTAATAGGCATCAAATGTACCACTGTCTCAATACCCCGTTCGATATGAGGATGAACAATACTTCCCAAGCCCTTCCAGTATAAAACTTCTCAGCCCCGTTCGACTGAGGTAATGTCCACGGTACAGTTTGTCCTATGTACTAGGTCCGTACACCATTTTTCATGATA